TGCACTTTTCTAATGAGATCACGAGTACAAGTTTTGCCTTGGGCGCCACTTGCACTAATTACCCCCGGCAACTCCTTTGATAGCTTCCAAACACTTGGTAACCTCTCAGTTTGCACTAGTTAGTGTGTGCAACAATCAAAGTTGGCATCTCTGTTTATACGAGACCCATATCTCGTGCATGCGCGACACGATGACTACCCTTTAATACAACTGAGCTGATACAATTGCCACAACACACCTGCTTCATGAATTTCAATGGCAGTTGAATCCAACCACCTAATGGATCAACAAGTGCAGTGTGCATCAATATGATTTAAATGCATTCCAATGTTTTTCAAACAGCAAATAGAAATCTCTTATTTTGTTTGAATTGTGAAATTTATAAAGATGAAGGAAATGGGTTTGTTGTGCTGAAAATACTCTAAATCAAATGTAGTTTTACTTAATTAAACAACTTTGTTTTGTTTTGGGGTCACGAATGTTTCAGTTTAAAAAAATGTGTTTATGCGATAATTATGTTACAATACCAACTGTATTGATCCTGACAGTGTTCTTCATAGCCATACATACAAAAGTATTTGTAAACAAATGCGGTATTTGCGTGTGTGCGTGAATTTTTATGAGGAAGGGATGGGCTACGTTGACTTAGCAGTGCACGAGCAAACCATTTACAACACGGTCCAGGGATTATTTCGTATCAAACGCAGCGCACAGATATCAAAGCACACAATTGCCAAGTATAATTCGGGTCAGTTGCTTAACTGGGGGCGTATGTACCAGAATGAGGCATTGGTGCGAGGTGATACCCCTTGGTTTTCGGAATCTTGGACTCTATGGGTCACCAAATGTTTAGAACGTTGTGTACTTACCAGAACTCTACTTTCTTTAACAGCCAACTGAACGCTTTCTCGGACTTGTTTGGCTGTTGGCCATGTCATGCCAACTCCACTCACCCTCTTGAGTTTAGCAAATTGGCGCTCCGAAGTCATTTTGGGTTTGGGGAGAAAAAAATCCAGGAAGCAAAACTCCGACAGGAAACTTCACACAGTTAAGAGCTCATGTCGCCATTTTGGTAGTCCTATAAAGACCCCCTAGAAAAGCTTAAAAATTGTGAAATACGACTATTAGAAATGTAAACAAATTTTTAATAATGTTCTATTTTGAATAAGATTTATCGTTATTAAATCTATAACAAAAACAGTCATTTGAGAGAGAAAAACTGAAATAAAATAGATTTACTAATAAGCTAGAAAGTCGATTATCCCCTCGAAATAATGCATCTTGGGAATATTGAATCACATGACAGTCTGTGTGTCTTTTGATTACAGTAAGTTATTGAATATTGTTGTCAAAGTTTACCTG